GATCAGCGATAGCACTGGCCAACACAAAGCCCAAACGTAATGGGCAATGATGCACAAAATCAAAACGAGGGCTAGCTGCAAGGCCCTCTTGCAGCCCACCTTCACTCCTGACCATGCTGAGCCGAAGAGAGCCCATCCGACCAAGCTGAAGATGAGGTCGAACACCATCCAGAGACCTCGGTCGTTGCCGCTGTCCCCCAGCTCCACTGTCCACTGGCGAACACCGGTGAGCCTCATACCACCGTCATCCCACCAGGCGGCCATCGTCGGCATGGTCTCCCGGAACAAAGCTTCCCACCGACCTGGCGGTGAGGAGTTGGTAGGTGGCGGTTCCATCGTCTCGTTCCACCACCATCCTTGGGCGCTGGTGAGGGCCGCCACCAAAACCAGGCGCACGCCACCCATGGCGAAAACGCCCCACCACCTCACCTGAGAGGTGATTTGTGCCCAAACCAGCTCAAGGTAGGCGGCTGTGCTTTGAAAGCCTACACAAAAGCCACGGTTATGCCTAACCTACCATTGAAATATCCGCCTTGCCAGCTGGTGCAAACATTTGTTCCAATAATTCATTCTATCAACGCACGTCTGCTAGGAAAGGAGAAACATCGCCTTTTCTGGAGACCTACATTTTGCAGCGTCAATGTCGGTCCTGTAGCGAGTGCCCAACTACAACCCCGCCCTGGCCTTCAGACAGTGAGTCAACATATCTCAATGTACAGGTTGTCTCCGGAGCTTTGTCCTCGCAGCTCTTGACGACAAGCCAAACCCGCTCAATGCTAAGGGGTAAGTCTTTTGGGTGTGTATAGCAAACAGTATAGTATAGCGTCGAAACAATTGCTCGTCTTGAAGATCCTGTAGTTTGCTCCACAAATAGTTATTGTTGCCGGGAAAAACACATAAAAATAGCTCCATTCACCGAGAATGATGCTCGTTCATCATCTTGATCCTCTTCCTCTCACTTCATCTTTTAGAGATCACCTCATCTGCGGTGATAACTCATAATGGACCAGCTTCTGCAGCGCTCAAGGTATGCAGCTGACCCTGCACCTCACCTCATCCAATATGAATTACATGTAATGACTTTGGACTTTGAATGGTCCGTTCGGGATCCCTTTTGGTCCCTGCCCCCCCCCCCAGTGGGTTGCTTCCGCCGCGGTCTGAAGACGGCACACCGAGTCCGCGTCTGAAGCCGAACACCGAGTCCGCCGCACCTGGAGCACCTGGTCCGTGAAGATGGCGCCCATGCGGTCCTCGGAATCGTTCGGCAGCTCCGGGAAGCTGTGGGAAGTGAGACATGAAGGTCGAAGTTCTGCAACGGCAGGCCCTGTCTGTGCAGGCCCAGACCCCCTTTCAGTGAGGAGGTGCATGAAGTTGAGTAACAAATACGACGGAGGAAAGACGTTGAAGGCCACATTCTTCTCACCATTCTTCGAACGGGATTGACCCATTCATGGAACATCACCCAGGGTGAGGAAATCGATCATGTTTGAACGAAACATATGCAGGTGAGTCACTGTGACACCCCGGTCACTGAACAGGATCTCTAAAGGATGCTTCACAGCAGCTTCTTCGAAGGTGTGTTCACTCCGTGTTCTTTTTGGCCAGCATGCAGTCCATGCAAGTAGTACCACTGAACCAGCGAGATTCGTATATCTGCCAGGTTCCTATTCTATTCCCTCTGCATCCTCCACACTCCAATCTCGCAGTTCCCCTGTTGACCATTTCCTGCAAGGAGAGGAGGGCTGAAGCTGTGAAGTTCTCCACCTGTGGGAGAAGCGAAATGAACATGGATTGGGTATATCCCCAGGGCTCAGTGGATGATGGTTAGACTAAAAACGTGATGCGCTTTACATCTATTTACCGACTGGTAATGACACATAGTACCACGATGGTTTCACGGCTGAGTACCAGGGTGGTTCAGTTAGCTTCGTCCTGGTGACGGTGATCAATAGCTGTTGGTTCGTTGGGTCTGAAGGGCAACAAATCCAAACAACAAAACCAATCCGTGCTGTGCTTTTGGTTATACATAGTACGTTATAGTAACTATGTATATTGGATGTTAATACCCAACTGGTTGCTTGAGGTTGGTTGAGGTATCTGGTCGCATCTGCTTCCACCTCAGCATCAAAAGTGAAAAAAACAAAAAAACAATGGTGGCCAGCCAGTGGGGATATGATGTTTGGGCTCGGGGCCGGGCACCACAAAGCCTGGCTTGGGAAAAGCAAACATCTGCAGTGGAGGGCCCACTGACCAAGACCAGGGCACAGATGCAGCATCCTTCATCTTACTGCTGTGAGGGACAACGTCTTCTGCGAGTGAACTCCCATTCCCGCCCATTTGCAGGACACATGAGACCGTCAGTTCGTCCAGAGTCGAAGGTAGAAGTGGGTGCCCAGAACATCCACTCAATGCAAGGTCCAAGTGGGTGCACCTGAAAAGCCGAAGACCGAATCTGAGACTTCTCCCCCGGTCGCCTGCTCGAGCTTGAGCCATGAGGAGCTCTGAAAGCAAGCCGCACCTGGGCGGCGGGCCAACGTGGATGGGCCTCTTTGGACCATGACATATACGAATACCAAACAGCCGCTGAACTGTACGTCCATGACATCAGGTTTCATGTCTGCTGACAGTCAACCACGCCATGGTCGGCTGCGTCATACGTACGTGACTTCGCCAGACAGGCTCGTCTAACGCAACGCCCCAGGTCGGTCAGACAACACACGACCGGTCCAGCAGGTCTCCGGACACCGAACGGCGGGCACCGACACCGAGGGAGCCATCCGACAGCCGACATCCGAGGAGCCACACAGAGCATGTGCATGGTGGCACCTTGTAGGATCTCCAGCCCTAGCGGAACCAACACCGCACAAACATGTGCGGAGCTGTGACACATTCGGCATGGTTTCTTGATAAACGTCAACGGGGGGTAATTAGGGATGGTTCGTTCAGGTCATCCATGTTCATCGTATTAAGTTAAATCATGTTAAATCTATATCTTAAGCTGATTTCTCATGGTTTCTCTGTCTGTGGTTTCATTCGTGCTGGAAGTAGTGACCTTCACATCGCCTGGTCGAACCTCCACCGATGCGCACCGGTGGATGTGCGCACCGGTTCCATGTGTGTGTGTGTGTGTCATTTGTAGAAGGCGCCACATAATAAGGGGCCATCTGCCTGAGACGCGCTTGGATCGGAGGGTGTTCTGGAAAAACACACCGAATGTCTCAGAATGTGTTTTTCATCCAAACAGCGGCAGCCGCACGACGTGCTTCGCTCGGGATACGTCTTGGTTCGGCCACCCCTCCAAGGCCGGGCCTTTCACCGTGGCAGCACGAGCTTCTCGAAGACCTGATTGGTTCGGATCGCGCCCGGGAGCCTCACACCGCTTGTCGGGCTGCAGGCCCCGTATCTTGGCTTGGCTTGTGCCATGAAAACGGTCCAAAAAGCGCCAGGTCAAAGTTGAAGACATGTTTGGAGCACAAAACATGTACAACTTTTATAGTATACTACTGTCCCAAATATGTGTAAAGCCACATATAACCAAGTCAGTAACCAAGTCGAAACCGAAGTCGTAGGTCTCGGTGCGAAGTCTCAGAAGCGAAGAAGTCGAGTAAACCGGTGAAACCGGTGAAGCGGTGGACTGATCGCATGTCGAAGCTGTCCATCATTCCATTGGGGGTTGCCATGGGTTTCCCTCTGGTGCAGTGGTTGCGGTTCATCTATATGCAACCCAGATCAACCCAGCATGCGCACAAGTTGCCACATGGTACTTTCTATAGCCTGAAACGTTTGAAGGTGAGAACCTTTGTTTTGGCATACCAAAGATTCGCCACCTACCTCTACCATCACTACCTTCCGCATGAGATGAAAGCCTGGGCAACAGGGTAAACCCGTTAGAGCCCGGTTGCTCTTCAAGCGCGAGGTGAAGAGGTTCTGGTGATAGGATGTACCTTAAGTCTGCCAGTTGCAGTGAGTCCAGCAGCCAACAGGGTCCCAAACATTTGTTCCGCAGAGAACTTGGTACAAGCTGCGATCGATCTGGTACGTGAATCAATCCAATTGACCAATTGTGCCACACCATCCCCAAGAAATAACATGTTTAGGACAGAGTATACCACCAACGGACACCACGTGGCGCCACGTGGGGAGGAGTCTAGAGATGTCTAGAGTCGACCTCGGTCGACCCACGCGCGACACGCGCACGGAGGACTCACCGGACCCGGAAGTGGTTTCGGAGGACTCGCCGTAGCTTCTTGTTCCTTGCTTCCGTAGCTTCTGGTTTCTTGTGATTTCAGTAGCTTCAAAGACCTACAAGAAGCTACTAGTAACAAGTGCCTTACTAGTAGTAGCAAGTGCCTTACTAGTAGTAACAAGAAGCTACTAGTAACAGTAGCTTATGTGGAAGATTTGAATCTGCCCGTCCATCACACGGAACCGTCCATCAGGGACTTGGACACGGAGTGGCTACGCGTAGCACGCAAAGGAGTACAACAATGATCAACAGCCACTCTTCCCCTGAGGTTGCAAATCTTGAAAGGTAGGGCGTTTTTGGAACAGATTGAAGGTGGAAGGAAGGGATGCCTTGTCAATGGGAGCTCGGAATTTTGCACACATGAAAACTCGGCTAAAGGAGAAAACAAACAATTTGCAACAATGAGTGATTCTCAGAAACTGCTAGTGTTTAACTGTTTCCAACAATTCAAGTCAGCTTTGACCAAGGACCGAAATGGCGAGTCCCAGCTCGGACCAAGCTCCCCGACAAGGACCGCTTTCGATGAAACCGGCCTCGACCCGTCGACACTGTGAGAAATTTGAACGCCGCCAGCTTCTGACTCAAAAGGCTGAAAAGAGGCCAACAAAAAGTACATCTTCAATTTCATACGAGTTCAGAAACATAGTTCAATATATTTATATATGAAACGTCCCGTCCCAGATCAACCGTTCGTCTGCCGGGCGTTTCTCCTCCCTTCGCTCGTGTCGCTGCCTGGTCCTCCTCTTCTGCACGTTTGAGGTCTTCACCCTGATCGTCCTGCGTGATGAGAGTGACTCCCTGCCAAACAGAGAAACCTTCCCCTAAAAACTTGGCCCTGAAAATACCTCATTGGGTCGTGCTATGATCAACTCCAGTGCGATCACACTGACCTGCAGGGTTCAGATGTTTTTTTGTTTTCCAGCCTTGGCTGGGCCGGATGCTTCTTTCTCCCCGCTGAAAATCCGAGGCGGTCTTTTGACAATTATGCAAACTATAATAGCTGCACCCTTCACCGGTCAAACGCAAAATTCCCCTTTCGGAGGATAACAAACTAAAACCAATTTAACACACTCAATATACGATGGGGCTCGCGACGAGAACTGTTTTCCTCTGCCACGACAATTCGCCCATGAACATCTAGAATAATAGATGGACTTTGCAACCATATCAAATAAACTCGGCTAATTAGCACATTCATCTTCACATGCCGCTTGCAACATCAACCGACAGCGCAGTCGGTCTGTGTCGACTGGGGGTGTCCGATTTTTTACCGACTCATCAGTCAATTGGTGGCCATGGCCATGACTCTGTCCAGCACTCGAAGGACGAACTGCAACATGTCCTCGACCTGGCCATGCCGAAGGGCGAGCGGAAGAAACCACCGCAGAGAAAGGTGTACCGCGGTGGAGGCCTCGATAGTTTGGAATGTGTGAAAAAATCAGCATGTCCGATACATAGACTATAGTGACTGCGTATGGGTGTTAACCAACAACCTGCAGTGAAAACAACTCCGATTCCATATGAAGAAGGAGTTCGCGCGCGTTATTTTCCTCAAATGGGCGCTTGAGCCAAAGGTGATTTGGCGGTCGGCATAGCTGTATATGCTATACACAATTGCCTAGATATACTGTACTGCTCTTGTTGCACTTCCATTGGCACCCCCACGCAAGGCTGATTTTGAATCATCCATAGTGGGGCCACCGTCATTGAGTGATGCTGATGCTGGCTTTAGTGAACATCGTTGGGCTGCAAGATTGCGAACTTTCAGACAAAGTGCAACTTGTGGAATGCCAGTGCGGCAGACATGGGGGAAGAACGACAAAGGAGGAGGCCACCAACAAGGGAGCTCTGCTCACCGAGCAAATACCCACGAAGGCACATTCGTGCTCTGTCTGCTGGAAGTGTAGAATTGATGAAGGACAATGCAACTCCTCTTCTGCGCTCATCAATCAGCTTCCACTCTTTGAGCAGTAAGTTCTGGAAAGTGTTTGCCAATTCCAAAATTCCAAACCAGAATACGAGCTCTGCCGATGTCGTTGGTATGTGGCCAGTGTTGCAACCCATTATAGTCACGCTGGACGATAAGGAACGATCCTCTGCCTCCTGAGCAGTATTCATCGTCACTTGGGGCGCGAGTGCTGCCATGGTGGAAGGTATTCTTTATTGCTGAATCTGCCCACTCAGGATCTTTCTCTGCATACATCAAAGCTCCTCTGATCATGATTTGTTTCAAGTCACCGCCGGGCTTGATGCGGCCACGGGTCTTGCTTTGTGCAGATTAAATATGTAGTCCTTTTCTTCCCTGATGCTCCTGAAGCCATGCTGCACATAGGTGACATGATTGTAGCTGCAATTCGCACAGTGCTTGATGGCATCATCTCTGAATTGGCCTGCTTGTGGGTGTCAACCAACAACTTGCAGTGAAAACAACAGTTAGTCACCTCCGTGTCCACATGAAGGACTTTACGAATTATATTCCTCAAATGGGCGCTTGAGCCAAAGGTGCTGATTTGGCGGTCGGCATAGCTGCATATGCTATACACAATTGCCTATAGATATACTGTACTGCTCTTGTTGTACTTCATGGGTAGTGACTATATGTGACTATAACAAGTTCCGATGAAATGCGTCCAACTGTCTTCTAGAAAGGAGCATGCTTTTATAGCGACTACTGAGTGACTACTGGACACACGGCTTCTCACGACTTATTGCTCACTTGGACACCCGTTGCAAGCTCCAGTGGAGCCAAGTCATTTCATGTTGATTTTTGGAGTATATGTAATGATTGATGGCCAGTAAGTGGCCAGGCCCGGATGGGAGGAGGATCATTTTTTGAAACACAATTTCATTATGATTACGATCATTTTGGAACACGCATCCGCAAGGTCTCTCTCTTGGAAAGAAACAACGCCCACTCAGCCAAAACAAATACCCCACATCAGCCAAAAACGAAAAACGGCGACCGAGACGGACCCCAAAACGAAGCAAGCTATATAGACACGTGTTCCACAACGATCCGAATCACCAGCGTGATCAAGTGAGGTGGTTCCGCCAGCGAGAACGGCCGTCACACGCCTTCTCCCAGATCTGCTGCACTTCACTCGATTGGCAGCCTGGCCGGTGCGAAGGGTGCCAAGGCAGCCAGATGAACGTGGGTGACGTGTGAAGATAAACTCAAGCATTCTTCAACCGGAAAGCTACATCAGCAGGATCACCTGCAAAGTCTTGCAACACAGTCCAACCGATCATTTCATATTCCCTTTGCAATTGGCAAATGGACTCGGTGCCCCGGCAGGTCTTGGCAAGGAAGTAGGGCGGGCAAGAGAAGGCCTGCGACGGTTTGTTCCCCCCTTTTCGCGCCGGTTTGGACACGGAATCGACGGGGGTCTCGTGATGGGGTCCGAGTGCCATCATTGAAGCCATTTTGGGGTCATGGCACCCGCCAGGACCCCTGTGCTTTTTCCCCAACCAAAACACAGGTCCGGCATCGGCGGCGCGCTGGGACCGGCAGAGCTGTTACAACTTGAGGCCGAGGGTAGGTGACGAAAGCTAGCAGGGGTGCATCCGGACTGGTGGGACATCAAGCGGAGTGAGGCAAATGCTCATGAGGTAAAACGCTGTGAACATGTAAGACACACAAACAGCAATGACACAGCCAACCTTAGAATTGAAGTCCCCGATAATTAAGGAAGCGTGGCTGGACTTTGCCACACTGTTCGATGCATCCGATGTGTTCACGAACCTGTGAGCTTGTTGAATCTGTTGCACCGTATCCCAAAACCTCCACGGAGGAGTTGAACCAGTGTGGATGCCATAAGAGGTGCCCAAGAGGTGTCCCAGAGGCAAAACAAAGCTGCTTGCATGATTTGTTTGGTTTCTTCTATCGATGTCATGTGAGCTTGTTGAATCTGTTGCACCGTACCCCGGAGGAGTTAAGCCAAAGTGGATGCCATAAGAGATGCCCGAGAGGTGTCCCAGAGGCGTCCGAGGGGGGGGGAGGGGGTGAAAGAGTGACTAGGGCGTACACGGTAGAGGTGCAGACCGCTAGTGTCTTTTATGCGCAGAGTCTTATCCTCTTGCTCTTTGAGCCTTGAAGCAGTCAAGTATGGACACACTATATCGGCTGTTGGAGTGGAACCCTGTACAGGTAGGCTCTACTTTTCAGCAGGCACAAGATTCATGTCCACTCCTAGCTGATTGCGTATGTCGCACACTCTTTTTCTACTGCAAGGCTAAAACAGTCCAGCTAGCTCTAGCAACTTAAAAGAAAACTACGGTGCCATGTACTTACCTAATCCAGTGTGTTTCACACTATAGAGAAGGTAATCTCAAAGCTACTAAATACAGTGAGGGAGCAATAGCTGACTCACCTCAAGTACAAAATCAAAACGATAATGTACCTCGGCTGGAGACTGTATTTTTCACAGGCGGAGATACCATGTACCGGCGCTCACTAGCTCTTTATGGCCTGAGCTAAATCAAACTAAAAGGGGAAAGCGGCTTTTTCTCTACAGAGACCTATAAAAGAATCAAACGACACTCGCGTAACAAGGAAACAAAAACTCAAGACCGCACAAATGCAATTAATTAAAATGCCTTGCAAAATTCAAGGAGCGTATGGTCCGAGGAATAATCTTCTCGTGACGTGGTCTCGACCGCTTTCATCCACAGACAAAATAAAACTGCATCAAAAGGACTCTTTCTCATTGACATCAAAAACACAAGGAAGGAGACACCGGCAAATGTATGTACAAAACTTGCACTACAAATGCAAACTTATGAAATGACTTATTCATCAACCATGAATGGTTGTCCATTAGAGGTCACCTCAGAAAAAGCGGCTGTGATAGATATCATCAGTTATGCAAAACTGTCCATACCTATCTGCATGCTAAAGCGTATAAACCTGGAATGCAGGAGTATCTTCTTTAACAAAAAGTTTCTCCTTGTTGTAAACCAGAGTTCATTAAAACTTTAGCCTGGCAACTTAAAGTCAAGCTTGGAAGCAAAGTATCAACTGTGATCAGAAGTATCTTCACTTCCTAGCCATCATTAAAAGTTAGCTTCCGCTCTGAGTTTCATGCCGCTGCAGTCGATGAAGCTGCTTGATCAGAAGTTGGCGGCCTTCCTTTCTTTTTATTCTCTTTCTGTCTCTCCTTCCTCCGCAGTTTCGCCTCATGAAGAGTTGATCCCATGCGATACTGTCTTCTGTCTCCAGATGAAAAGGAAGCTGGTCTGAGTGAAACAAACATTGGACCATGACTGTCCTCGTCAGAGGGTCTTGAGCACATAACCTCCGTGTCAATCATAGCAAAGTTCTCTGAAAAATTACAGATGAACTCCTTCGTGCTCACTGTGGAATTTTCATATTCCTCTTCACTCATTGAATGACCCCATTCAACAATGGTAGACAAACATGTATCGCCAAGCTGTGATCCTTGGTATTCTTCTTTTTCAACAGTAGAATATTCTTCCCAGAGTTTATCAAAGTAAACTTCACACTTCTTGAGGACCTGTGAAGTTGAACTGTAAAATGTTCTGGGAATAGGTGCTTTGATACCAGGATCTGCTTTTACACGAGCTTCTGAAAACCTGCGGATCCAATGCTGCATGGTGCTGTAATAGTAGTTAGCCATTGGCTGCCTTTTATACCCAGACATTCTGTAGGCCAAACTATTTGCATCGCCAGAAATGATGTCCACCTCATAGACAAAACACTCGTAAAGCATCAATGCTGTCTGTTCTCCTGTCAGTAGGTGGGCATCCACAGCACGGTGTGTATCAACATGATAATTACAGACTCTGATGGTATGCATGTTCGCTCGAGTAAGTGGAACACGCTTGTCCTCAGGACCATAGTCATCAAATTCAAAGTCTGCATCCTTGAAATCTTGACGAGGCCTTGTTTCTCCAAAACAAATCTCGTAGATAGCCCAAGTTACATCACGCTGTTCACAGTGACCAAGTTCTTGATCATGTCCAGCAATGATCTTGACATATCCACCTGGTGCCAATCTAGCCATCACTGCAAGATTCTCCCAATCATTGAAACAAACTGTCCAATTCTTTTGCTCAATAAATTCCTTGGCAGGAACAAGAAGATGAGCTTCCTGGAGAATCACGACATGTGCACGTAAAAAGAAGAGCATGTTGAAGAAAAGGTTGTTCTCAAATTGCTCATTCTGAAGTGACATGGCGCTCTGTTTGCGTGGCCTCATTGCACTATCAAGTCCTTGGAGAAACCTTGGTGTGGTGTACTTCTGACCACGAACCATGTTGCCATAGTTCCAGGATAAAAATGTCAAGGACTCTGAGCTGGCCAATAAGTTAGTTCCATATGGTTCTTCTATTCTTCCCTTGAGGAACCTTCTGCACAGCTCTTCATAGAAGCTGACAAAGTCCCAACTGGGTCCCTTGGGACCATATGATTCCAGTTCCTTCTTAAGTTCCTTCTTCGTATCCTCCAATTCTTCTCGAGCATGTTCTGCCCTTCCAAGGGCCTTTGGATCGACCTGATACTTGCCATCCAAATGAATGATGCGATCATCATTGATAAAGAATCTCTTCAAATCATGCTCTGGTTCGTGTTCATAACAATCAGGTGGAGGTACTGGACAGATATTACGAATGGATCGAACAAAATCATTCTCGTTGATCCTTGACTGATAATGAGGATGGGAAATCTCACCTTTTCTGAAACAAACATGATTCAGCAATCTTGCGTGAGTTTCCCTGAAGCATTGTTGATAAAGGCCAATACCTGGATCTCCTGTAAGCTCTCCAAGCAACTTCAAAGGTGAAGTATGCAACTCATAGGTATTGTCAACTTTTGCTGTATCCTTTTCAACAACTACTTCAGATGGAAAAGATTCCTGGATTTCAGCCTCCAATTTCTCTCCATCATCCTCTCTGACCTCTTTTATTTTCTCCACCGCCTCTTTCTTCTCTTCCATGGTTGCATCATCCTGAACTTCTTCATGAAAATGAGGATCAGGTATTTTATTCAGGCGGCTTTTCTTAGATTTCGGCAGACGTGGAGTATCATCAAGGTTAGCATCCATCTCACCTGATGGTAAGTGCGATGCAGCCGAGTCCTCACCTATCTCTCTTGACAGAAAATGTGGTGTTGACTCCTCCTTGGCTTCCTCCTGGTCCACTTCCATCTTTGGTTCCTCTGAAGGAAAAACACCTGCATTCTCATCAAATATTTCTTCTTCCTTTTCAGGTTCAACTGCAGGATCTTCTTCAGGAACTTCCTCTTCCATATCCTCATCTTCTAGAAGTGTCCTACTTCCAGTATAGATTCCACCAGCGATAGTGGAGACTCTTGTATAAGGAGGAACTTCTTCACCTGCATCAAAAGCTTGTTCTGCAACATCCTTGGTGAGCAAGTCCTCTACAAGATTTTCTCCCATGGTTCTTGGAAGAGGTCCTGAGGTCTCATAAAAATCTGTCCTCTCTGAACTGAAAGCTTCTGTCGCCTTCTCATTGTCCTTTTGATCCCTGAACAGGTGAGTAATCTTCACAGCTTCTCCCTGTAGCACCTGATCACCTTCTCTATACTTGTCGACAATGGAGCGCCATACTGGAACATTATCATCATCGAAATCAAGCTCCATATCATCTGCCAACAGATATGAGATGTTTTGAGCTGCCTGTTCTTCTTCTTCCTCACGTTCCTTGGCATGCTCCTCATCCTTCTGGATCTTAAAGATACCCTTCAGGATGTCTTGTAGTACCCTTAAGTTCAGCTTCGATGATGGCTCATACGTCCCTGAACTTACAGGCTCAACTACAACACGAGAGCAAGAAATCGCCTCCAAAAACTTGGAATTGTATTGGCGTTCAAACTCTTCCTTCTTGATCATCTCATACAAGGGATCAGAAACTGCAACACGCGCTTGAACATACTCACGAAGTTGATAGCATGCATGTTGCACAAATCTACTGTTGGAGTTGTGAAGAAAACTCTCTAAATGATTCCTGTCACGGTCAATCAAATACCACACAATTCTTGCAGAAAAACGGAATTTCTTGAAGTTCATAGCAAAATGTGTATGATACTTCTCTGGATCCTCTTCTGCTTGTAAGGCGGCCTCTGAAGTCTTGTAAAGAGGGAGCTGTGTGTGTGGATCCAAGATCATAAACTCTTCCCACAAGATCGAATGCTTAAGAACCCACCTGGGAAGCACCTTGACGAAAAAGTCACAAACAAGTTCAGACAAAAGGTGCATGACACGGCCAATCTCTTCCTCCTGCTTGAAACGATAGTGCAGTTTGGCAAATAATGGATTGTTAAATGCTTCCTCCACTGAGTTGCCGAAATTATC